CAAAATCGCTTGGGCTGCTTTCTACCTTTTGCTGACTGGCTGGCTGACTGCTACTTTGGCAGTCGCATAACGTATACGTATCTTTGTCTGACTCGAAACGGGCAGCCGTCTTGATATAATGTCTCCTGTGGCCAGTCGGTTCGCTCGATTTGCGTAACTATGCACAAGTTGACTCATTCGTTTGTTTGTGTGTGTGTGTGGGTGTGTGGGTATGTATGTATTTATGTGCATTGCGTGTAGGTGTGCTGTTTACAGTGTGGGGCTCTTTTAACTATAATGGCACACACGTCTGACTAAAACAGCATCAGAGTGTAATTAGCCAGCCTGCATAATTAAGCCTCATGTTGTTTTCTTTTTGCTGGCTTTTTTGTTGGGCAGAACGACGGCCCGACCACGCCTTTTGTGAGCCCTGAATTGTTATTAGTTTGCAATTGTATTGATTTTTGGTCCACCCTCCACCACTTGCGACTATGGAATGACATTTTGTAGCATTAATTGCTGTCATCTAAATTCATATTACTCGTGGCCTACTTTAATTTGTGGTCAACACGCGAAAAATACGTAATTTAAAACAATTGCCAGCGCATTCTAAGCAGCACTTTTATAAATAATTTATGGCTTATACATTTATTAATAGTGCAAATTTTTTCGTGTAGTTTCTCTTTCTTAAAATAAGATCATTGATTAAAGTTAGAAGTAACAAGATTGGAATGAATGTTTAATTCCTACATACCAAATATCATTAGTTTCGCTTGGGAGCTATAAAAAAGATTTCACGGATCTTTTTGAAGGATTAAATACTAACTTTTTCAACGAATATTTATTGGGAAAACGGATTTTTTTTAAATATGATATTGTATTCAGGTTGTTTTTTAAAGACCAATAGAATATTTGTTGGGACAAGTATTCGGTGTTCTGCTTAAAAAGAAATATAATGCTGCCCTTTAGTAGAAAGTTAAGAAGATGAACCACACGCACAGTTTGGGATAGCTATAATTTTTCGCACCTGGGCAACTGGCATAGTTGTATAGGAAACTTGGCCGTAATGCTCGTCATCGGTTCGAGCTAAAGCCGTCGCATTTATTGTAGGGGCGTTGCCGTCGGTCTGAGTTTTAATTAGCCTTGAGTGCGTGTGTTGCGCCAAAAGGCATCAACAAATTGTTATATAATCCACACGCCTAAAAAGCGTTTTTAGGACCTAAACATTGTCGTCACTTAGCCAGCATTTACAGTTGGCCAATTTACGCAACACAGGGAAAACGTTGAAAAGGCCGAGAAGACGTGTTTCTTGCTTTTGGATTATAAGGATATTTAAGCGTTTATTATGACCCTGAATGTTGTCGAATGTTGTACAGGCCGGGCCCCGTCATGGCAAATGTTAAGGTTAGCGGACTTACAGAGGCCATATCTGAAACCAAAACGTTTTTAATTCGCGTGTTTACGACAAAATTGCATGTGGCTCGCGTTAAGGCAAAAAGCAAACAGCCAGAAACAACGTGGAAATCTAGTGTAATGAAAATATTTTCGAAAACAAAAAAAATATCTGCAGTAACATTTACACAAATGAACAATGTTAAACAAGCAAATAGTGTACTCGACCAGGAATTGTTCTGTACACATTTGCGCAAAATATACTCGTTATAAGTTATATTCAAGCACCTCTTGCTAATTTCGTCTGTGGGTATATACAAAAAATCATATTTTTGTACTTTTTAGTTTATGAGAGAGTAGGGTAAAGTAGCAAAAAATGTGAAATATTTTTGTTTGAGAACCAACAATAAAAAAATGTACTTCTTAATGATGTTCTCAAGTATCCTAGTAGAAAAGTCGATAAACATTAGAATATTTTTGTAAATGCCAAATATAAATATCTAATTAGCATCAAAGATTATTTCCAAGTTCGGCTCGTAGATCAGATAATGCTCCTTCTAGTCGAAAATGCCGACAATTCTGTGTGTTACATAACATTTCGCAACTGTCATACGAAAAGAGAGTAATGAACATAGTTGCAATCATGGCACAGAAAGCACAATACCCCATTAACATAGTAGTTAACATAGTTTTACTGTACTACGATGCTAGGTAACTATTATAATCTACTCGTCACTTCTTCGTCAACATGTGGCGCATAGTTGCACTTTCGTGCTCGAACTAGACATTTTCAACAGAACTCGGAATTTAAAATTTTTACTGCACATAAATGTGTTCGTCTAAAGTTTTTCTTGAATATTTTTTTTATTTTTCGCTGCGAAATGATTTCTCCTTTTTGCTTTTCAAGCGTTCAACTTTAAGGATAACTTGAAGGTTTCAAAGTGAAAGTCAAAAAATAAAAGTTTGCACATTTTATTGTTTGATGAGTTTTGAATAGTGTGCGGCCAAAGGGTGTGGCGATTGTGAAAATTGTTTTCAATAGTTTTCTTTTTTCGCTCTTTCCTCTCTCTACTTTTTACTTTTCACCAAATCATCCATAACGAGTTGTGAAAGTGATTAATGATAGATGAGTTCAACATTTTGATACATTGAATAGAGAGAAAAATAGCTTATCTAGAATGTGTTATGAAAAGTATTAATGTTCTTTGTCCCGCCGCGAGCTGTAGGAATTTTATTTAATAGTTAGGCGCAACTTTTCATATTGAAATATTAAAAGATCACATAAAACAAATTCCCGATGCTATATAAACTATTATAGATTATTCTCATATTAACTCGCATTAATAGCCATAACAATCTGCACTTGTTGAAAACGTAGGTTGACCTCCGATACCTATAATATTGATAATAACATATATTCATTTTGTCAATCTTAATAAGTAATTTTTTATTTGACCAACTGCCGCTTGATTAGTGACTACAAAAACATAAATTGTTTACGTACATACTTCTCCTTATATTTAAACTTTTGAAACTTTACTTATCTTCAGAGTCATTGAATATTTATTATATTCTATATTAAATATAACTTGTATGGGGCATGCCAATGAGAACTTTGCAGTAACGATGTTTAAGTTTAAGATCTTTCATGATAACTAAACTGAAAAATCTTTATTATTACACAATCTATACCTTACATACACATTTTAAAAGACACTTTGCAGCCTAGCAAATAGTTTATAAAATTGTAACATTAAAAATGTGCGTCTACCATATATTCATATTATTTGAAGTATTGTTATAATCGCTTATCGTCATGTTCCTGGCAGCAAATCCGTCTTTATATATAAGTTAAGAATAAAATCGTCTAGTCGAAATCTACAGAAATGTGCAACGCCAGATATATCAAAATACATAATACTGCAACTTATCTTATTTCAATTGAAAGAACAACAACAAATGTGTTGAAAATGTAGTCAAGTTGAGACGAACTAAGGATTATCAAGCGTTGTGTGTGTGCATGTGTATTTAAACTTGTTAAACAAAATAAAATTATATAAAAACAAAATAGGAAAATTACATAAAACGGGCTTTAGGACGCTTCCATGCTAAGCTCAAGTTAAGAGCAGCTGCAAAACAAAAAACAAAAAAACTACAGAAAAGAACTCAATTTAAAATATTATATTTAATTGTGTACATGTCCTGTGTGTATGTGTGTGTTTTTAGACATTAAACGCTTTTTGTACTCTAATGGACACTAGTTAGACAACTAGCAAACAAATATATGAAACATATAAGCAAAGTACATTTTATATAAATATAATCCAGGCAGCTTTTAGCCAAACCTATTTAAAATAAAAACAAATTAAATATTAACTCAATTATTTGTATCATACGGCCCGAGTGAAGAACAGTTGAAACAAAGGATACACACAGACAATACGCCCTGAAAAGTATGCAATTCGATTGTGAGCAGAGCACATTTTTGAAATGTTTATAAGCAGAGAGTCGTAAAATCTATTTGTAGAAAACCAAAGCCCAAAAAAAAAAAAAACGAAACATATTTTTTAAATAGACACCAAGCGATAACAAATTTTTTGACATATATATATATACATATATTTTTTGATAATCCAACAACAAGAACAACAACAAAGCAAAATGCACAAAAACGTATTCCCTAACCTACGTTAAGTCAATGATTTTTTTTATTTTTGTTAGGTTGAAGCATAGTTTATATATATTTAACGATTGTTATACCAAATGAAATATTTACTTTTGATGGTTTCAATGAGGTTTATTTTAAACGATTTTTATATGTCACTCGGTTGAAGCTTAAACAAGTAATCCAAAGTACAATCATTTTTGTCAAAACAGACACAAGACAAAACATAATTAATAACTACTACACAAAAAGACCTAAATGAAACAAATAATTGGCTAGACATAATGAATTGCACAACATTTTAAAGGAGAGTCACAGCAAATTGGGCACATTTACAGGGACAGACAGTAACAAACACAAAAACAAAAAATATAAACAAAAAACATAAACAAAAATACTTTTGCTAAAAATTTTAACTTTTATTTTACCACACGCTTAATATAAGCAAATTAAAAGTGCTGCAGATTAAGATTATTTTTGATTCAAGTGTGGTTAGAGTCGCTGTAAGTGAGGTTAAAATTGCGTAAATTGAGGTTAGTTTTTCAAGAAGTGAGGATGGATCTGATTACTGCCGTTAGAATAGGTTGAACTTAACCTGCTTAAATGCTTAAAGTGAGGTTCGAGTTGATAAACTACTAAAAGTAAAGTTGAGAGAAAGCTTAATACAAAAAGAATTGATATTACAACTCAATATTAACGGTCATATTTTAAAAAGAAAAATTATAATTGACAGAAGTGAGATTTGACTACCTAAAAAGTGGTGTTACTCAGTGAGCTTAGAACTGGCTGGCAAATTTCGGTTATAATTGCCAAGTGAGGGTTAAAGTAATGCATATTGAGATTATAACTGCTTAATAATTGCGCAAATTGATGTTAGAAAAGTAGAGATCGAGTTCAAACCGAATGTTATTTAGGCGTAAATTATAGTAAACAACTAGAGCTACATCTAAGCGCATCAAACAAAATGTATGCAGCTGCTGGCGGCGCATCGCTGGCCTCGCGCCAGGCGCGTCAACGCCAGCGACAGCAGAAGAAGAACCAACAGCTACAAGCGAAACTACATCCACCGAAACCAGCTGGCATTGGTGTTGGGCTCGGCGCTGCCGATGGTGGCGCCTCGACTCCAACACGCAGCCAGTCGCGGCAATTCCATCAGCTGCCCACAAATTATTTGCGGGCACCGCAGCCGCAGGGACGCAAACTGAGTGCCACCTACACGCAGTCCCGATCGCTGCTGCCCATCGAGGAGGCCGGCGATACGCAGTCGGTGTTGCAGCTGCGCATGCACTCGCACACTCATGGGCATGGTCACGCCCATGGCCTGCACGGGCATGGCCATAGTCATCTGCATCATGGTCTCGGCCCTCCAGTGCAGACGCCCTATCAACAGTTTGCCTCATCACATGGACGTGTCTCACCGAAACTCGTGCACCGGCACAGCGGCAGCAGCGCTGGTTTCCACCCAGCAGCAGCAGCGGCGGCGGCAGGAGCAGCGGGTGGAGGGCAGCTACATAAATCGGCAACGGCAACGCTGCCCTTGGTATCGCAAATGGAGGCAACGCCACCAACGACACCCGCGTTGCCATCGGCTGCGGTCGGCGTTAAAACGACAGCGGCGTCGTTGGAGACAGACGCCACGCCCATGTCGGCAGCAGCGCCAACAGCACTGGGCATGGCTATGGCTAGCACATCCGCAGCGGCGGCAGCGGCGGCGGCCGCCGAGGCTGAAGCTCATTTGGAGCTGGCCGGCGCGGAGGCCATGTTTGTACCCCACCATGATGCGATCATTGTAACGCCGGCCACGCCCATGGCCTCGCCGGGTCACGCAGCAGCTGTGAAGCTGCGACGCGCCGACGACGACGAGGAGCCGCACGATTCAGCCGAACGTCAGCCCCTAACCGCCACGGATGCCTACGACGAGGATGATCCCATGCAACCGCCCAGCGGTCCGCTAGAACGCAAGTGCAGCGTTTATCGCATGCGCCGCAGCGATGCATTTGAGCAGAGCGACGCCGGCGTCACCAGCGGCCTCAAGCGTCAGCTGCGCGAACTGCAATTCCAACAGCCGCAATACGTGCCGCTTGTCAGCGATGAGCCGCAGCTTCTCTTCAAAGGTCTGGGAAATGGACGCAAGTTTCAGATTTGCGCCTACTGCGAGGAGGGCATCTGCGTCTGTGAGCACATCGAGGTAAATTCAGCAGTTTCTAAAGCCAAAGTCAATTTTAAGACTGCCTAGTTGTGTCTCTTTTCTTTTATTTTTGTATGTACATGTGTGTATGTGTGTGTGTCGTATGTTCTTAAGTGTAAATCTAAACTAATTTAATCGTGCATGTTCTGTATTCTAAATGTCAGCTGTGTATCTCTGCGAAGGCTTCAAGAAGTTGGCATGCCCCAGTGTATACAAAACTATATTAAATTTCAAGTGATCAGAGTTCTATAATATAATACAACATTATCAGATTACTTTATCATACTGATTGCAATTTGAATTAGGAAACTTACTCAAGACTTAATATCACACAGTGAGACAATTACATCGAAATATATTTACAAAACGATTTCTTTTCCAAACATACTTTTTTTCTACTTTAAAATATTCATAATTTATTTTTATTACTAGTTGATAAAAGATAAAATATGCTGAATTTTATTTTTAAATATAAATATATAAGCTCTTAATTTTCAGTTAGCGATTTTTTCTCTCATCTACAATGAGTATGATTATATCCAAATACTTATGTCTAAATTATTCTCAGACCTGTTGTTGTTCTATTTATTTAATAAGTGTGTCTTACAAACTCCAAGAGCTTATTAAATTTGAATAGAAAAACTGGTATGCTCAATAGCTTCAATTGACCCACTCTCAAAAGGAGAACAACGTTTAGCCCTTCATTTCGTATGGTTCTTGCAACTTTTACCATAGCTAACCTTATTTTGCAGCGATGCCATAACTGACTAGAATAATAACACCAACAGCAAATGGGAAGCGCATAATATGCCTTTGTATCGGCCTGATAATGCGACGCCCCGAAAAAGCTTGGCAAACTCTTCAATAGGGCCGCCCACGTCGCTCCACGCCCCTAAGTAGATGCAGCTGCTGCCAAATGTTGTGTAAAAGGCAAAAAGCAACTCAAAATGTATGCCATAAAACTGTAACATTCGGTGGCTCAAGGTGAGCGGTGGTGCCGTGGTGCGGAAGTTGACTAGTTTAGAGCCTTTAAAGTTTTTCTCGCTTGCTCTTAACGAGCGCCAAAGCAACGAATTTAAAACTTAACGCTGTGCAATTATTTGACTTTCATAAAAACTGTAAATATAAATTAAATAAAATAAAAAATAGATACATTAAATTTTGCAAGCTCAGAGTACCTAGCTGTGAGATGCTCTCTACTGCAAAAAAACAATGTTTTTTTTTGGCAATAGCTGTGATCATTATAAAAAAAAAGCATTTATTTAATAATGCTTGGCTAGCAAAAGGAATTCAAAAATATTAATGCTTTTTTTTTTGATATCCTTAAATCTCTCTCGTAAAAGCCTGCATTTTGTCCATAGATTTTTGCCTATGACGTGTCTGCCCTATTTTGCGATCAGGGTATTAAAAATTGCACAAATTAAACAAAACTTTGCACAAAGGAAAATCTCTGTACCAAACCAAGGAAAATGGTTGCACAAAAAAAAGCAAACAGCAAAAGCGAAGGGCGGCTAAAATTTATTATACGCCCACCCACGCGCGCCCTCTCATCCACTCTTCCGCCCCCCTCTTGCACGTGCTGAGTGGCCACTCAAGTCTCTAAGAGAGTCATAGATATATATGTATTACGTACTTACACTTATATAGTTTCTCTCGCACAACGGCTAGTAAATTAGCTGGAAAATAGTGGAAAAAGTGTGCGGCGAAATGGCGGACGCCAAAAATGTGAAAAATAAAACAAAAAGCGAACAAAAGCAAGCACAACGAATGTCATAAAAAAGTAAAATGAAAATGCCAAATAACGTTTTTGAAAGGTAAAGAGGCGAAACGAAAGGTGTAAAAATAGTGTAGAGCTCTTAGGCCAGCATGAATAAGCACATAAACAAGATGACGCCATTGAGATTAGCAACTGCATTAGCTTTAATTGCACGTGCACAGGGCTACGACAAAATCAAATATTTTTTCTTTAAAACTTTGCAAAGTTATTTAAAAAATGGTTTGTTTATTACATATCCAAATTGTGCTATGGATTGTAAGAGAGTAACTAGATCTTGATGTGTTCTTCTCTTCTTACCAATTGCGTAATTTAAAATGGAAATGAAAAGTCTAAGCTGGCAATGGGCACAATATAAAAGGCAACTCTTTTTAAAATACCTTAACTTGTGATCCGGCCCCAACATTTTAGCAAGCGTAGACCTTTTACTATATATACTATATATGCAATATTCATTGCAATACATTTAATATTTAACACTTCTGCTTAATTTGTAGTTGCGATTATTCAAATTTAAAAACAATTAAGAAGTCTATTGATAAATTTTAGTGCCAGAAACGAAATTTGCAGAACCTCAACTATTGTCGAAACAAAAACCTCATCAATCAGCATTACGACTGCATCAAATTGTTAACGCTCAACTGTATAGCTGCCTTTTTGGACATATTTAAGCCCATCTCCCACTGCTCCCCTTCTGTTTTGTCCGCTGCCTCAAATTGCAAACTGTCATCGCAATTTAATTTTCAATTACGCGATGGTTGCCACAAAAAATGAGAAGAGAGAATTGCAGTCCCTGTCGTTGGCCATTCCAAAATTGCAGTCTCAATAATTACTCAAACTGTCGCCTGTGGCTCACTATCTGTGGCCCACTCCCAACGCCAGCCTCTCTGGGCTACCCTCCACCATTTTACAGCCTGTTGGCGCTGACCAAAGCCAGCCTCACAGGAGACTCGTTCGGTTCGGTTTTTTGTGTTGTTGTCGTAATTGTTTGTCAGGCTTGTCGATTGCTTTTTTTTTACTATTGTTGTTGTTGTCGTAATTGCAAGTGACATATTGAAGTCCCAGTTACGCCATTTGATGCAAACCCCTGCCCTCGCCGCACCCCTTCAATGACAGCTCACAATTAAGTGGCAATCCGTGGGACAGTTGCGCCGCGCCAAGCGACTCTTGAGCTTGTTCGCAGTTGGCCGCATGCTTTGCGGCTACAGAAATTGAATTTCAGTTGCATAATTCATTGACTTACACACTCAAAAACATAGATGTGTAGTACCAATCCTTAAGTCCAGATAATCGGAACTCGTTTACGTAGCCACATTTAAATAAATTTTAAATTTTTTGGTTCGCTTTCCTTTGCTCCTCTTTTGGCAAACATTTATCTTCAATATTTGGCCATTTTATATTTGGGTGTGTGCGTATGTCCTGATTGTTGCAGTCGCCTTCGACAATAAAAAGCATTTAAAAAGACACAAATTATAACGTGCTCCCCACAGAACTCAATTGCATTTGACATTTTTATGGGCAAACAAATTTACGAGTCAATTCTGGAAATCACTTTCGCCTATAAACCAGTTTAATATATAGCTCTCGTTTGTTTTACTTAAGCATAAGCTGAATGTGCTGAAATCTGTTCAATTTATTATCGCTTATTATCGGAGCTGTTTTACAACATATGGATACCCTGAAAAGTAAATAAACTTTCAGGAATTTTGAGACATATATACCGATTTTTTCAAAATAACGGTCATATAAGAAATGAATATTATTTTCTAGAAAAATGTAAAAAAAATGGCGTCAAAGGAATCCCCTAGTAAAGGCATTTGATTTTGGTCACATTTGCATCCCATTTGCGATATTATAAACGTTTTCGATTAACGGCCGTAAATCAAACGCCTGCCAATGGCTCAATTAACGCTTAGTTTATACTTTTGAATAAATAACAATCAATATACGCCACACCATACAAGACTCAGACACACACACATGTAAGACATCTGATTGCTTTGGACAGTCAAATAGCATGGCTTTCAACGAGGACAGTTGCCATTTCTCACGTGTGTGGCAAGCGGCATGTGGCATATGCAAATTTGTCGAGACGATTCACCAGCTTTAATTACCTGTAGACAAGGCACTCTGAGCACCCTCGCGGCCCGCCCAGTTGTCATGTGAACAAGAAAGCGGGCGCTGTGCCAAAATGGCTGCCAATGTCGAGACGAATGCGAATACTAAATACTGAATACTGAATACTCCAGTAGAGTATGACTGTTTGCAATTCGCATTAATTGGCCAACGGGTTGCAACTTTGTTGACAGACCAACCCATCGTGCAACACGTTCCCATTGGGCCCTGCTGTAGGGAGGGAGGGGGAGACTGCGTCTAATGGGCTCTCAACTGCGTTTATTATGGTCAATTTTTGCATATGCAAGCCGCAACCTTTGAGCTGTTATTGATTTACCTTCCAGAGTGCAACCGCATTTAAATGTGAAAGTTGACTTTGGCTTGCGGCCATCATAAAATTTACATTTGCAAAAGTTGGCTATTTCCAAAGGTTCCTATGGAAAGACTGGGCAAGTTTAAGTCTGCAATTTTTACTTAAGTCAGTACTTGAAAATTTAATGGAAGAATGTTATGAAAAAGCAAACATAAAATATTGCCATATTAGAGGATTTGAAAGGGGATTTAACACTTAGCATTACCTAGTTTAAGTGATATTATTCACCTTCATTTGGAAACTGATTGGTCATTTGAAAAAAAAAAAACATTATTCATTTTAACAACAATATTTTCTAAATAATGATTAAATTTGCTGCACTTTAAAATTCTTTTGTTGTCGCTCTACATTAAAGGGATTTTAATAAATTCGAAAAGTTGTCACCTTTAATGTATTCAACACAATTGGCCCATTACATACAGTCAGGCGAAATGCAATTCGTGTTTTTAAAATGTATGGGAAACAATGTGTTCATCTCTATATATAAAACTGTTTGTCCTGACTGACTGACTGATTAACTGATTAACTGACTGATTGGTGATCAACGCACAGCCCAAACTGTAAGAGTTAGGTAGCTGAAATTTTCACTGTAGTTACCTTATGTGATGAAGGTGCACGTTAAGACGGGGTTTCTGGAAATATTAACTGCAAGTATGGAAAAATTGCGAAAAACATTTGTTTGAAATTTGTTTGTTTACCATCCGATCGACCTCAAACTCAATTTGAAAGTTCTTTGTT